ATACACAGCAGGTGTAAATAGGTATCTGACCCTGGGTTTGACTGGGTGCCAGCCCTGAACAGGAGAATACGTTGCAACTGTAGCACTATGGACGAACAACTTTTGATATAATTCGCCTACCTAAACGGGGTTAGATCGCCGAAACAACAGCCCTTGGTCGGGTAAAACCCGAGTCATTCCAGCACGTAGAATCGGCTGTCGTGAGAATGTTCTCAAAATACCCCTATATTTTGTATGAACCAATTAGAACAGATCTGACCGGCCGAGAAGCAGCCATTTTCAATTAAGAAAAAAAACAATTGGGTAAAAAGTGTATGACGTTCGTAATTTTGAAGTTTCCTATTTCTGCTTTGCTTCTCTCTTTATGTGCATTTTGTCGGTGGTTTATTTCAGTGATTTTTAAGCGATTTTCAATAAATTTTTGTGCAAATGTAATTAAAATGAAGTGCGCGGTGATTGGTTGCAAAAAAAAACACGTACAAAATAATAAATTGGTTAGCACTCACATGTGCTACAAAGCTGCTGGCATTTTTTTTCTTTATGCTTCGTCTCACATTCTTTGTTTACTTCTCAAAGAAAATAACATGGCTCCAGAATTACAAACGTCAGCCAGAAAATTACTGTTTTCTTTTGCTTCATCTTGTCAGATCTTGTGTAGTAGGATCATGGGTGTTTTGTTTCGCTTTTCTTCATAATTCCGCTTTGACAGATAAGTTCAATACATGATTTTATATGAGGCTTGTTAAATATAATGCGAGGAAAGCAAAGCGAAGCAAAACATGGGCAACTCGCGACTTTTGCGCGCTTTGGCAATCAGCTGTCTACATGTATTTTTTCTCGCGCGCTTGCATTTGCATTTATTAATGCATATTATTATATTGTGCCGCTCTATTCTGCATTTCGATTACGTTCCCGCATTCCGCTCCGCTACAATCGTAATTTGGTATTTTGGGTTACGATCGAGACGAAAGAATAAGAGGAAGAGCGAAAACATCTTCGAAATCAGCTGGTTGCCCATGATGCAATAATACAAGGTGGTATCAGTTGTGACAGCTCGATTTGACACTGCCTTAGCTCAGTAGAATAAGAAGAAAACGAGAAGAAATGAATCCCCATTTGGGGGAAAAATATAAAATTTCATAATTTCTTCTAAACAAAATTTGCTTTTTTATAGTATATACGTAATGAATTGAAACAAAATAAGATAAAAGACCTCCTTGAGAAAACAAAATGTGAATACTGAGAAAAAATAAAAAAATGCAACTATATTATTAGGCAAATAATTGTTAAAGAAGTAACACTGTTTCACCTAAGGCAGTCAATATGGCGGAATTAAAGCAAGTAGTCTGATCCAATAGCAGTCCGGTTTACAGGATTTAGTCAGAACTTACAGGAAGTCGTTCCTATTGACATAAAACCTGTAAGTGGGAACACTTTTGAGAGAGTAACTGAGCAACTGTTCCTAGTCAGAAGTTACAGGATTTAGTCCGGAGTTTCTTTTCCTGTAAGATCATGAAAAGTGTCGAACGATCAGCTGATTTGCATGTGCAAGCAAAAACTAACAGCGGTGAAAGCAAAGTACCTTATATTTGTAAAAAATGGAATTAAACAACGAAATGTTTGAATATGTATAGATTTTAATAATTATTTAGTGATATTTCAGCTAAATCAGTGTTGTACAAATGACATGTAAACAAACCGACTGACGTTTTTACAGGAAATAGTGCTTTTTGCGTTCCTATGCACTTCTGCATCTGTTCTCCTTTTACTCTCATTTGAGAGNTGTATGGGAAACAACAACACCACAGATTTTACGGTTAGAAAACGTCTTAAAATGTAGACGTCTACATTTTGAGACACTATTTGGAACGAACTGTGAACACCCCAATTATGTTCACATATAAAATGATTAACAATAAATCTGCGTCAACTAAACTACCCGTTCACATATAGGAGTTTGGCTGCAAAATTGACAATCAGCTGTCAAGATTGTTTTGACAAGTTTTTTGTTCATGGACAATAGTTTGGTGGAACATTTAAGTGTTTTTCGTTTGCTAAATTATTATTAATTATTAACGATATGGAAAGAAGGCAAAAAGATGCAATAGTTCAATTAATTGCGCAATTGGCTTCCAGTAATAGACAGTTGGAAGAGATCCGAAAAAGGCGGCTACTGAGATTGAAAAAAATTATGGCAGCAATACGAATGCGAAACTCTTTATTATATTTTATAATAAGGAATAACACGCGAAAGCGTCTGTAGATACACGTAAGCAATTATAGCAGCTATTTTTTTATTAGTGAATATAATAATCACCGCTTTTATGTGTATTGTAGGCGAGACACGGCAAGTTATGGGAGCTGGACATTCCTGCCAGCAGCGACCAATTTTTTAAGGAGTGCTTTAGAATGAGCCGCGAATCCTTCGCCTTTTTATGCAACGAAGTGACGTCCATTGCAAAAGCCGATACAACTTTTAGGAAATGCACCCCTTTAGACAAGCGCGTCGCGATTGCTTTATATGCGCTTGGTTCCTCAGCTGAATACAGGACAATCGGCCGGCTGTTTGGAGTATCAAAAGGAAGCGTATGTAATATTTTAATAGACTTTAGTTCTGCGGTATGGGACAAGCTCGCCCCTAAGTATTTACCCAGCACATTCCTTACGCAAGAAAAAATTGAAGAGTGTGTTAAGGGATTTGAGAAAATTGGATTTCCTCAATGTCTCGGCGCTGTCGGTAAGTTGTACATATAATGTAACTAGTGTTCAAAAATTAAAAACTAGTTTGATTAACTTCAGATGGATGCCACATTGAAATAAGACCATCAGCCGCTGATGCTGTAGACTATCATAATTATAAGGGTTGGTACTCAATGGTTTTACTAGCCCTCGTTGACTACAGGTAACCGTGTCATATGTATATCTATACGTTCGATGAAAATGCTCAACTTACTTTTTCATAGGTATAGGTTTATGTATATAAATGTTGGAGCACCCGGCCTCTGCAGCGATTCTCAAATTTTCTAAAAATCATCATTAAAATTAATTCTCCAAAGCCCTCTTCACAGCGAGAATGCGAAACCAATATCTTGCACAAATGTTCCAATCGTTGTGCTGGGAGAAACAGCATTTCGCTTTACGCAATTTCTAATGAAGCCTTATCCTTACAACGCAACAGCCGGAAACAGCGAAAAGGTGTTTAATTATCAACTTTCCAAATCTAGAAGAGTAGTAGAGAATGCCTTCGGCCACTTGAAAGCAAGGTTTAGAAGAATTGGTAAAGGCATTGATAATGACATCAAAAATGCAACATCAATANATCCTGCACAATTTTGTTAATGAACGTTATGATAGCATCAACAACAATAGGATCCAAATCCAAACCAATTTTGAAATCGAACATCTACGACAGCAACCAGAACCGCCCTACAATACTCAAAACTACTGTTTTTTTGTTTTATATGGATGAAAATAATTTTATATGGAAGCATATATTATGCCCAATACCGTCAACGAAAAAAATCAACGGGATTTTTTAGTAACTACTAAATACTACTATGTATACTAAAATTTTATGGGCTACAAAACTTCATACCTAATTTTTTCCAAACCTTTTGAATAAAAAGTTGGAAATGTTGGTTAAAGTTTGCAGAACTGTTATATTTTTTCAAAAAATTTAGAATTTGGATTTATGTGTTTTTTGTTAGATAGTGAGCCAGGAGTTTATAAAAGAAATATTAAACATTAAATAAACAAAAGAATAATTAAAAAAAAATAGTGTTACGTTGGGGTCCCTAATAGTTTTGGCCAAGGGTGTAGTTTCGGGCCATTTCCAAATTGCGGGAAGGAAATAAAAGTGCCTTACTGTTTAATTTAAGTGTCCGCCTTAATGTTACTTGGGGATGACCCTAAATAAAATTACTTATTTTATAAACCTTTTTGTTTGGTAAATTTATTATTTAAATATAGTTGATAGCTCAACGAAAACTATTAAACCAAGTTCAGAACTTTGTAGAAAATTTAGACAAAATCAAATTTTCCCAAATTTATTAATGAAGCTTTATAGCCCATTTTAAATTCTTGTACATAAATTGCAAGCATTCCTAAAATTTTTGTTAAAAAACTTGTATTTTGGTGACAATTTAATTTTTTCTAAATTTTCTACAAAATTCCGAACTTTGTTTTACACGGTTTTCGTTGAGCTATCAATTATATTTAAATAATAAATTTACCAAACAAAAAGATTTATAAAATAAGTAATTTTATTTAGGGTCATCCCCAAATAACATTAAGGAGGACACTTAAATTAAACAATAAGGCACTTTTATTTCCTTCCTGCAATTTGGAAATGGCCCGAAATTTTTTTACTTATTTTGTTTGAAAGCCTCCAGAAATTTTTCGAGAATAGCATTCCGATCCCTTTCAATTTGCAAGACTTCTTTGCTATCCTCTTTCAGCTCTTTCATTTCCAAAGCGATTGTTTGGTTGGCCGCGCAAATTCTTCCATAAATTCATGTTGGAAATTAACATTCTTTTTTTTCCCTCCGCTTTTTCGAAGGTTTTGAAGAACACTCCTCCCGTATTAAAAATTCAGGCGAAGGAGAAGTTGCTTCAATTTCAGAGAGCCTGTTGTAGCACTCTTCATCTACCACAACTTCAAGTGTCTCAACTGTAATAATTTAGAAATGATAAACAATAAACCCAGTGACTCACACTCACAATTATACAGTGATATTTTTACAATATCCACAATGTTTATCATTTGGATTGGTTCTTCATTTTTTATAGTTAATTATCTAACAAACCCTCCAACCACCTTACTTGCAGCTGACATAAACAAAATTTGTCATCATGCCTGTAGGGAAAAGTCACTGAAAAACCGGGAGAATAGAAATATAAAGGAGATAGACGAGGCCCGTCCGAGTCAGGTGGAGTCAGCCCATCTTGTAGTTTTGGACTTTGCCGTGACTCCTACAATTGGCAAAGTCCCCTAAACCTGACCTTAGTTCGTACGTCTATTGACAAGTCATGTCCAAATCAGTAACGTCAATCAGTGTCGACACCCATTTCCCCCCTGTTGCACCAGTGCAACACACCCACACCAATATAAAGAATCAGCAAGCCATAACTTCTCTTTCAATCCTGATCACATCATCCATATATTTCCTCCAAACATATACTATACATAGTCTATTATTTATATATATATAAATGCAGCTACAACTAAACCTTATTCACAAATTCAATTCTTCTTTCTTCTTTTCTTCTTTTCTTAACTTACAAAATCCAAGTATTCACTTCTACCTATCAATGTTTCTAACTAAGCTAAACTTTATTCACAACTTTAATTACTAAGAACTAGGGTTTCCTTAACTTACAAAATTCAAGTATTCACTCCTACCTATCTATGGCTATGTATATATCTATTTATCTAACATATAGGACGCTTGGCGCGTTTGCAATGTCAAATGAGATCCAGGTGAAAAAAAAAATCTCAAAGATCCAAAACGAACCGAAAATTTAAAAGAAAGATACATAAGTATGTAAATATACACCTAAGTATATATGTGTATACTATTGGTTTATTTATTTATTTTTTTATTTTAACAAAGCTTATATAATAAAATACAATATTATTATACAAACTAAAGAACGCAGCACTAGCTACATAGGCTTTCGGCTGGCCAGTGAGGACTTGACTGATTATATACGACGGAGAAGATCTGAGTCCTTAAGGAATTTATATATCTTAGAGACGTTACCATGGGAAGGATTCATTAGTAACTGTAAGGGATCAGTATAGTTAAAATTTCGCCGTCTATGAACTCCCAATTCACGACAGAAAACCAATAGGTGTAGCATACTGACTGGGGCGTCGCAAAATGGGCATAAATTGGGTTGTGTTCCTTGCAGCAGATGAGCATTCGTAATGATACTGTGACCGATACGGAGTCTCGTATAAGGCGTGATGTAGTTGGACGGAATAGATGATGGGTAGCAAGGTTTGGTGTGGCTAGGGTTGATTCTAGCATAATGATGCATGTAATTCACCCACTCAGAAAGTATCTTGTCTTGTCTCTGCTGCACAATAAATCGATGGATATCATTTTTACAAAATAGACTAGAAGTCGTAACAGGAGTGAAGCTCATATCTTTTGCCGCTTTGTCTGCAAAAATGTTGCCGCTGATGCCAGTATGCCCAGGCACCCACATGAGCCTAATTTTGAGAGGGTGGATAATCATGATATTTCTTATGCACCCAATTATGTAGTTGTGATTATTCAGGTTTTTTACAGCTTGGAAGCAAGATAGACTGTCCGAGCATATGATGAATTTGCCATAAGCTTTTGTAGCATATTGCATGGCGTGGAGAATGGCAGTAGCTTCAGCAGTAAAAATAGAACAAAAAGGAAAAAGTAAACCATAAGATACATTTTCACCGGTTTCTTTAACAACGGCAAATGAAGTGTAATCTGCCTTAGAGCCATCAGTGAATAGCAGTTGCCAACCAGTAGCTTTAGAACGAGCTGATATATCCAAAAAACAAGCATTGTATTCAGCAGATGTGGTGATGGACTTTTGGAAATAGCTTAAATCGTTTATCAAAGAAGATTTATTTAGCAACCAAGGAGGACGAAGATTGTATCTTGGTAGCGATAATTTGGCCGGCAAGCAATTCTCTTTTGCGTAGATAGAACACATGTAGATAGCTGAAGATATTTTAGGTGTTCGAGTGCGTGATGTTGCCGAATGAAAATCCTTTCTCAGAAAGATGTAGGATGTGAGCATGAGCTTGGGATAAAGTTTTCTTATACTGTCTTCCATGTTGTCGAAAAGGCAAGGTAAACCTGCTTCTGCCAGAATGTTTTTGATGGGCGACGTGGGAAATGCACGTATAGAACGGCGGACTGCAGTGTGGTAAGGTGCAGCCAACATCTTGAGGTGGTTTTTAGCATGCAGCCCATATATTTCCAAACCATAGTTGACAATAGAAGAGATGAGAGCCTTAGTGACATTGATCAGTAAGTCCGAGCCGATGAAGGAGCGTTTACAAGATAGATATTTAAGAATATTTAACTTAACATATAGCTTTTGTCTTACGTATTTACAGTGTTCTTTGAAAGAATACTTAGAATCTAATACTAAACCTAAAAACTTAAGTGAATCTTCACAAATAATGTTTACACCATTAAAATTTAACAAAGGAATAGAACAACTACGTTTCTTACAAATATGGAGTAATTTAGATTTACTAGAAGAAATAGAAGCGCCTGAAGAAAGGGACCAATGGGAAATTCGAGATAGGATATTTGAAAAAGTAGACATTACTGTGTGCAAGTCAGAGCTTTTAGAAAATAATAATACGTCATCAGCATATATTTGATGGGAAACCGTCGGAAAATCCGAAAAAATGACACTGAGTTCATCGAAAGCTATTTTGATAAGAATAACAGAAAGGGGAGAAACCTGCGGTGTGCCGTTATCAACCTTACTAACTTACTAACCTTTACTAACCTTACGATTGGACAGGAAGGATTTTATAAAATTGTAGATTCTCGGCCCAACCTTCCATTTATCTAGTTGTCTTAAAACTACATGGATTCCAATGCGATCGAAAGCTTTTAAAAAATCCAGTGATAGCAAAGATATATGATTCCTACAGGAAAGGACATCAGAAATAACGTGGTCAAGATGTAAGAGGGCATCAAGCGTACCCTGACCTTTCTTAAAAGCAACCTGGTTGTGATGAATGAATTTGTTTGAGTTTACAAACCATGAAAGTCTGGTAGCAATAATTTTCTCTAACAGTTTTCCCAAGCAAGGGAGCAGAGATATGGGACGATAACTGTTAACGTCAGACGAGGGTTTGCCAACTTTTAAAATGGGAATGACTGAACTAGTTTTCCAAAGATGGGGATAGTGGCCTGTTTTAAATATGTTATTATAATGTCTGAGAAGGCGAGAAATAAAGGGCATAGGAAGATGATTTATAATGGGGTATGAAATTTTGTCAAAACCCGGGGTTCTACCTTTAACCGCCGAAAGGGCAGATCGTAGTTCCAGCAAGGTAAGATCAGCATCCAATTGTCTAGCCGACGACGTCAGTCCATTAGGGGATGGGCGAGGAGTGCGGAGTATGGCAAGCTTACTAGCTGTAAATTCAGGAGGAAAATTGGAATCAGAAGAGGAGTTGGAAAAATGAGAGGCCAATTCTAGAGCTATATCACGAGGATATAGTAGATTGCCATTCGGGGATTTTAGGAAGGAGAGAGGGGAATGCGAGGGTAGACCTGTAAGCTT